CTCATTACCATTAGTTATAGATTGTGCTGAAAATGATTTTGTGAATTAATATGTAAAACCAGTAGGGTTGTTTTTAAAAAAATATAAATTTTAGTCCATAATACATATACTCTCTTCTCTCTATATAGGCAAAGCATTTAGGTATTATATTTGAAATTAATTATTGCCACAACAAGCATTGTTGCTTCTAGTAAAATAGAAGAGAATAATTTTTAAAATTGGTCTTAGATTAAGGTCCTTGAAAATTTTGTTGAGGTCCTTGAAAAGTCCTGGAAAGTCCTTGAATTTCAATCTCATCATAGAGTGGGAACCCTGATTTTACATTACTTGTAGTAGTCAAATAAAACTTCCAAATGTCAAATAAAAGAACTGAGAGAAACATTCTGTAGATCAGTGTTTCCCAAAATGTGGTACGCGTACCCCTAGGGGTACGAGAACAGTATAGCGGGGGTACGCGTTCTTATGCGAAATATCTCGCAAAAATGAAAATTTCAAAAGATTTTATTTAAAAACAAAACTAGGCATGAAAATTTGCGATTAAGTATTTTTCTATTGGCCATTTTTTGCAGAGTTAACAGTTAATAATTAGTGTTGTCAGCAGCCAGTTGTGATTTTTAACTTTTGTGCAGTTTTTTTTATAGTGAAAAATACATTCATTTTTTTATTAGTAGTACAAAGCGTTACGGAAAATTTAGAAAGGGTACACAGAAGTCATAAGTTTGGGAAACACTGCTGTAGATGATAATTTACTTTCGTTTTCTACTTCCTTAAATGTTTTATTTTTTGCGAATATAATTTTTGTCGGACTAGAAATAATTATTTAATAATGTGCAACAAAAAGTTCATTAACAATTGGGAGAAGCTTTTTAAAAATCTTGAATGATTCATCAATTAAATTAATATCATACTTAATTGATACTGTGAAGGTATATGCTAATAAAGGAAATCAGCAAAATGCTATCCTGTCAGAAAAATATGTGCAATTGATTTTCATCGGAATCCATAATTGAATCTTATTCTCCAATGGCAATAGTAACAATATGATAAGAAAAAGAGGTAACAAAATAAAAGAAAAACAATGAACGTTAAGGAATATCCTGTGATTGTAATAATATAGCTATGTTTTTTTACTGCCTTGACCGTGAGAAAACAAAAATATGAAAAGAAGAAATGATATTAACAAGATCGCACAAGATCTTACATTATATAGTTATGTGAAATGTATGCGTTACCTTTAAAGAATGAGATCCGTTATTTCATTAAATAACGGATCCAGTCAGTGGACGATGAACCATAAATAACATTTGATATAAAATATTATTTTCTGCTGAGATTATGTTTAACTGTATGAGTTTAGCTTAAGAAAGTTTCCTTTTTTAGACTTAGAAACTTTAAAAAACAAACATGAAATGCTTCATATTGTTCCAGGAGTATTTCATGTTTATATTTTTAAGTTTCTAAGTCTTATATCTATTTTTAAATGATAAAACTAGCTGCTGAAATGAAAGTGGTGTAAAACTTAATTATAAGGCAATGTTTTTTAATATCAAATGCAAATGTGCATTCAAAAACACAATTCCTCAATCTCAATTTTACACAATGCTATCGTTCACACAGAACAAGAGTTCGGTGAACTGGGTTCGTTCGCATCTACCTTCGCATGTTCGTTCGCACCTTTCCTAACTGGGCATTTGCATTGCTCTATATTTGTGATTGATAACTTCGCGGGTTAGTCAACTGAGGCATAATTTTAGACGCTATTTCGCTCATTTAGTTAAGGTAATTTCAAAGCACAGGTTCCTTTAAAATTTCAGTTCACTTAATAGTTTGCCCATAAATAGTTTCTGGTATGGCCTTTTAACGATGTCAAAACATCTATAAGTTTTGTAAAATATTTCAGGAATCAAGATCAGGAGCCTCTGTCAACTGTTCAAGATTCAGAGCTGGACGAACAAACAGAAAGTGCGAAATGTTCAAGAACAGTACCTGCAACACCTGCCAGCGAGAGGCTGCATGAACAGCCAACACGATGTGCCTCACAACCTCTAGAGGTAAAAGAAATTTATATTAAAGAAATTACTTAAAGAAACTTCAATAATTAATCGATCGATAGTAATATATATATATCGATTGGTATAATATATCGATTGATTAATTTTACCGATAGTCCACAATTAATCAATCGATATCAGTATCAGTTATCCGAATTTCTTTTTTTTTTATTACATATTTTGAAATTGAAAGTAATGAGAATCAAAAATACTGCTGCCAAATTTTAAATTGTAGCATTCGTAAAGTGTGAAAAAGAAACAGTGTATAGTTAACATCCTACTAACATTGCAATCTAATTATTATTTTTCAAATGGAATTTGCAATTTTATTTATATATTTGTTAGAATGTTTACAAACTTTAATGAGTAATAGGTTGGACAAATTTTCGCCTCTCTTTTTATCACAGACTAGCTGAATAACGTTTGTAAAAAAAAAGTCAATAATTAATCAATCGATATTAGTATCAACACTTACACAATCATGTACGGAACTGAAAGCCGTGTGACTACACAATTATATCTGTAAAAATTAATTAAATTTCTTTTTATTATTATTTGCAGCCATTTATGATGGCTTTACCTTGATAAAGAAAGAACATTTTCAGGGTTGAACTCTTTAAAATAAATATTAACCTCATTCAGTATCATTTATCACGAGAAATGACCCTATCGAATATTGATAACAGCCAACACATGGTAATCTATATTTACCACAATCAAGCATTTTTCCTGGTGCATTAGCCCTTAAGTAAGTGGCTAAATACTTTTTTAATTCAATTAACATTAATTTCTCATTCTTTCGGTTCATAGAAACACTTTTCTAAAGCGTCTTCACTATAAAGAAAATAATCACTGGATTTCTGATTTGCACATCACTGCTTTTCTAGGGTGAGATAATCGGAAGAAAAAAGAGGGTCATTCACCATTAATCATTAATTAAAAACGCGATAATACGGCAACTATTACTAAAACGACTGACCATTGGGGTACAGAGAGTGCAATTTTAGACTTTCGTCTTGCTCTCTCGATAGAAAAGGTTTTGCTTTTATGACTTCCGGAGCTGGTACCCCCTGAAGACGTCAGCTTTGGTTATCATGTTTATCCAGTTTTTTTCATTGTTTCATTTGTTTCAATTTCCTATTAGATTCACTGCTGCTAAGTGCGTTTTTTCCATTGGAAGTATTATTGCTTTTAATTGCTTTAAAATTTTGAATTCTTTACTCCCTATGAAAGCAATTCACACTGTTAGCGTAAAAAGAGATACCAAGCTTTTTTTGTGCCTTCATTGCTTATTTAATTAGTTTGCAATGCTAATTTTAGTTGGGACAAGGTTGGTTAAATGCTTATTATTAAACCCATATGTTTTTGTTTATTTTATCAAATGATATCTTCAATTGCGAGAAATGAGAAAAATGAAGTTAGTTAGCAATGAGAGTAAATATATTTGCGAGAGAATAAGTGGATGACTGATTAAGTGTATGAAAGAATTAAAACTTATTTGAAAAAAAGGTTTCTTTTACAAAATTTTTAAAAAAAATTTTCAACTTGATGCTTATTTTTTAAAATTTATTAAAATCCAAAAATAAGAAGTAATCAACTGAAAAGGGACATTAAATTTTCAACTGATATTTATGTGAAAAGGAGATAAAATCATTCCTCTTGATTTTTACACTGATCTAAACAGTCCTTGTAAAGTAAACAAAAATAGTATATAAGTCCAAATGGATTAAACTAGACAGTAGTCAAAAGTTTGGAACCCTTAAATCTGAAGTTCACTTTTTTTCATGTATCAAAAGAGCCATATTTTAGAATTTTAATTACTCTAGAACTACTTGACTCATTCCGTTCAAATTTTGGATTTTGTGATTTAAAGTTACATAGTTTAAAAATAGTGTAAAAATTTGCATGACTTACAGTTCAAATTTTCTTCGACTATTGTTAAATAACATCAAGTAGTAAATAATTAAACATTATTTTTTACATGAAATCATATTTGGAAAAAAAATTTATAATTATATGCAAAAAAAAATTTCGATTCGCTTAAGAAAAATTCAGGGGAGATTGAGGATCCTATTTTCCAGATTAGTCCTAGCCCCCACACATCGGAAGTCAAAAATTCAAATCTGTCAACAACAACAAAAAAGTTGCATTCAGAGGTAGTACATTTTAACATCTGATTCCGTAACTCATTTAATAGTTGACACTAATTAATTATCAGATTTGAGGTCAACTTTTTCAACCATTTGAAGCCTGGTTTCTTAAGAGAAGCGTCTTCTCTGGGCGTACCGCTGATGTACCGCTGACGACAACAAAATACTGTTTTGTTAGCTCAGCTTGAGCAGTCGGTCCAAAACAGACATTATCTCGCATTGCGCATGCGTTAATAGCGCAAACAAATATTTATTTTGAATTTGTATTGATTTTCTTATTGTCGACCAGAGCTTTAGAGAGCAAATAATGACTTTGGTTAAGAAAAAATACATTATAGCTTAGCTAAATGAAGAAGAAGAAGCTATATTTAATGTTAAAATCAAAATCTTGACTGATTCCAAAGCTCTGTTGGATGTTGCCCGCTATTGCTACGGTCGTTAACGTCACGTTGTAATCGGACTGCAGTTGATTTGAACGTCAGTCGTCGGTCAAGCTGAGCGTTTGATGAAGTATGCTGTCAAAATGACCAATCAGAGGTTAGCGCTCTCTTCAAACTGGCGTTTTATAACTCCGACCTGTCCTAAGAAACCAGGCCTTCAGATCGACACCTAGTGCATGAAAATCCTATCATTAGAGCAAACGATATTAAGGATGGACACAGCTTGATTTCATTGCATTCATATTTTTTTATTGTAAATCATTCTTAATTATCTTCTAAGAAAGAGCTTACATTCTATTTTTTTCAGCGTCCAAGGCTCCGGATGGTCCGCCTCAACAGGCACCTTTCCGCAGAACAGGGTGATCCTTCCTCTCAAGAATGGGATACACCGGGAGACGTGGTAGGAGGGACAGCAATGGCAGCCGTACAATTGCAACAAGGAACTCACCTTCCAGCGTCCACGGCAGCCCACATCAGCTCCTCCACGTCTGCCCTGTACTCATCTCTGAACACTGAGCAATCCCCAGAGAGGAAGACCACCTCCTGGGACGATGTCTCCAAGAGAGCAGGACCCCAGTCATCTGATGTGTAAATAATGTAAAGTTACGAATTTATTCGAGTTCGCCGTTGGGTTTTTATTTTTCTACCGCCAGAGCCTTGTGTGTGTCTATAGACAGTGCCTGAAACTCCTTGGTTGCTAGACTACAGGGGGACAACAATAACAACAGTGGCGTAGCTATCTCGGACGAAGGTCGGAATAAAGTTTGGGGCCCAATGCCATACTGACTATGCACATATTAAGTACCAGTAAGCTCTAGTTACTACCACACGCGCAAAAAATGCACCCGCCTGCAACCGCCATAGCTACGCCACTGTTCGGAATCCAATAAAAAACAAAAGGGACATGAGACGATCTTCAGTTCCTCATCAAAGCCCCATCCTAAACTCACCCTTGTTCAGTTCCAGGTTGCCTTGACAAAATATATATAAAAATTAATTGAAAAGTTTAACAAAAAATAATTAATTAATTCAATCCGAGAGCTGGTCCGGGTCTGTGTGGAAGACAAGACGATTGAGGCTGACTGCAAGGATGGTGGATTTCCACACTCAGGGAATCTGAAGAACAAACCCCATATCAGGACGAGTCACATTTTTTCTCTAGTCCACGGTCTGTGATAAGTTACGTGTGGTCCTCATAAGGGGGTGCTACCTACTGCTGGAATGCGCATAGCTGTGATTTTTTTTTCTTCTTCCTACGCTCCTGCTAAGCAAGAGTGGACGGACCGATTGACTGAACTGCTCTCAAATTGTGTAAATATTATACATAAATCTATGCAAATATATACTAACACGTATATATGTTTGTATACATAAACAAATATGAATACATACATATATATGGTCCACTATTAGGTGCTGGCCGCAGCGTGGGTGCAATACTTCTAGCTAAATCAGAAGCTATAGACAAGTAGGCACGTGTAGAGCACAAGTGTTGCCCCACGCATTTTTTCATACTATGCATTTTTCATGGCTTTCAAAACGCCAGGTGCAATACATAATCGATGAAATAAATCCGTTTCCTCTCTCAGCTATCTACCATAGCAAACTCCAAATGCTTTTCTGAATACACTCTTCACATACCAGCAGAAAATTCAAATTTTTTTGAAAAGAAAGCAAATTCCGAGAAAATTATAAAAGGGGAAAAAAATCAAAGAGAAATTCCTTCAGCCAACTTTAAATAGATATAATAATAATATTTCTAATCACCGACTTCTTATAATGAACGGCCATGTTTTTACTTGCACGCTCTCTGAGAAATAACATATTAAAAATAATAAGAAACAAATATTCATTATTTAGCATATTAGCTGACTTTATTCTTAAACTTTCCCCCCGAAGAAAGTTATTTTTAATTTTGTTGACTCGGGGAACCAATTCGCCTTGACTGGGCCATTGCACAGGTCATCTTTAGGGGCCTTCCAGTGCATGCGCTGATATTTGATGCAAACCTTTAAACTTTGCACTTTTCCTGCCTGCTTCCTTACTTAAAACTAATACTATATATAATACTTTCACCCATCTTGTACATACGTTCGTTAAGTACTAAGAGAATAAATATTGAAAAAAAAGCTCCATTTTTATATATAAATTGTTACATATTTTACAACAGACCGTTAGACTTATGGTGCATAGAAGAAAAAAAAAAGAGACAGCGAGCCATGTGATTGGCTGACGCTGCTATGCTAACGCCGTGGCCTTCCTTTCAATGTTAGCGAACTGTTTCTGTTGCAAACCCTACATCTATTTTGTTAAGAAATCATAAAGCTTCATCCCATTTGGTTCTCAAAAAACGTTCTGTATAATAAAGAGACCTATGCAACTATTATACTCCTTTGTGGTGTCTTTATTTCATTCACACCTTGCAAACACTTACAATATCTATATTTAGCATTTATTTATTTTTTTCGAAAGACCTAGAGTTTAGGACAACATAAATTTATTTCCATCGACTAGGATCCAACCAGCAAAAACAAACTGCCTGTGATGTACCTTGACAAAAGGGAGTGGTTATCTCATTTTTATTGCAAGTACCCATATGTAGTAACGCATTCTAGACTTTATTGCAGTTCCTCAATTTATCCTTACCTCCATTTTGGTATACAACCATAGTGTACAGTGCCCAAAATAAAAAAACGGACCACCCTTAATAACTTTTGATCTAATGATCAGATCTTCACTTTCTAGGACTCATTCTTTATGATTCGAAGGGGTGAACCTCAAATATTCTAATAATTATTGTCGACGATATTTTAAATTAGGAAATCGGACTCAAAAACGTACTTTCTCTGAATAAACATACCTTCTTCTCCACAGATTCAGATTTTTGACCCCCAAAATATAAGGGGTAGCCGCAATATGAGAATTATGGTCTCAATAGTTAGGTCGAGAGAGCGGTCCAAAGTTTAGACATTTTAATGTTAATTTTACTTTTTGCGTATTTCGCCATATCTAGGAAAATTCTTAAATGAAAAAAAGGCGTATTTTAAAGATTCGATTTCGCTATTCGACCGCTTTCACAACAATTTTGTATTTTCCCTTGCAAAATTATATTCTTTAAAATAATGTTAAAAAAAATTATACAAAAATTTTTCGACTAAAATTAAATTAAATAATAAAAAATAATAAATATTTATTAAAATTTATTTCTTACGTGGAATTATCTTTAGATAAAAGAACTTTATAATTGAGTGCAAAAACGTTTCAATTCGGTTTAAAAGTTCTCGAGATATGGCGAAATATCCAAAAAATAATATTAACATTAAAGGGTCCAAACTTTGGACCCTTCGACCAAAGTAATGGGACCATATTTCCCAAATAGCGACAACGCCCTATATTTTGGTGGCCAGAAATCCGAATTCGTTGAAAAAAAGATATGTATACTACTCAGAAAAAGTATGTTTTTGTGTCTGATTTCGTAACTTGAAATATCGTCTACACTAATTAATTAGCATATTTGAGGTCACCTCCACGGGAGTGAATCCTGGACCGTGAAGATCCGAGCCTTAGAACAGAAGTTATCCAGGGTGGTCGGTTTTTTATTTTGCGCACTGTACAACCGAACCTACTAATACCTATGTAGTTGTGGTAAATTGCGAAACAACAAAATGCAATTCAAGCATTGCTGTCACCTATTGAGCCTTACAACTAATATGAATAACGGTTAGTGTTTCTCTTTCGTCTGGATACATCGCATACAGAACCGTACCGTTTGATTTTTGGCAATCCAACTTCAGATCGATGGGTACCAGCTTTTTTCGGAAGTAAAGGCAGTCGGTGAGCAATGGAAACCACATTGGCACGATTATGCCGTTAGTTGCAAAGCTGCGAAGCTTTAACCTCCTCGACTGGCCCACAATGGGCTATTGAGGAAATTTTTTACTTTATACACAACATACAATTTTTTCCCGTTTTCTTTTCGCTAGGGGGCTACAATATTTTCGCTTATGTTAAACTACCACAGTTACAGGTATCAAAATTTATGCATAAATATGGTTATCTTTTTTTACATTATTGTCTAGAACATTCACTCGTTTGTTCGATCGATAATATGAGCTTTTTCATCTACTCTTCACAAACGCTTCCGCCAGTGATCTAAGATAGATGTTTAAAAGTTCTCCGCTGACTCGAAATTTTGTTTTCCTGGTTTAGTTTGCAGATCATAATTATAATTAGAAATCACCCAAAAATGAACTTGCTCTAAATGAACATAACTTTTTTTATGACAAATTTTCAAAAAGGTACTCGATTCGAAAAATGTTTTGCACCTTTTAACAAAATTCGTTTAACTAAATAAAATTTCACACACAAAAAAAAAAAAAAATTTAGTAATCATTGCAATCAATGTTAATGCAAGATGTTTTGGATGATTAAAACCATTAATTTATTCATTTTTATACACTCGTAAACATCGTCATTTTAAATATAAAAAAATCTAAAGTATAGATGAAATAAGTTGAGTAATTTCTGGGACATAAAAATTTAGAACAAAGATTATTTCAAATTTTTGAGCCTCAGAATTTATTCAATCGGTTAAAATTTAAATTTTGACATTCAAAAAGGGAAAATAAAACCTTTTAACCCGATTCTTTTTTGTCATTATTAAATTAAAAAATAATAAATAGTTATTGAAAATTGTCTTTTAAAAAAGAAACTTTCATTGGCAATCGAAATGGGCTACAGATGGAGCAGAACTTTTAACCTACGGCAACACTTTGCATGCTTCCACCATTAGCGTATGGAAAGTCATAGAAGAATGAAGTACGTTAATTTCTGTTTTGATTTTCAAACAGATAAAAAAAAAAATTACGTTAGAATAGTGTTTAAAAGAAAAGGTCCTGGAAATTTTAGAAAATATTTTTGACAATTAAATGCGAAAAATATTATAGTAAGGGAAAACTTACTAGTACATTCGCATCCAACTAAGCGGGGGAGAAGTGGGAAAGAGAGAGGGTCAAAACATAGAACTTTTCTTCTCCCTAGATGGCGTATACATCGCGAATTACTAAGAAACCCAAGATTCTTGATTTGCTGTTCAAGTCCAGTGATATAAAGAAACATACAAAATTACTAAGTAACATAAGGGAACCAAGATTCTGAGTTTCAAATCGTTTTATTATTTTTTGCACTGCGTGATTCTTTTGATTGGAATATTGCATTGTTTGTACACACATTAAAAGTATAAAACATAATTTTAATCTTTTTAATATCATGAATTCTTAATATAAGTTGACAGTAATTTTTGATGGAACAAGAAGGGGGATATTTTGATTTGTTTTCTTTAATAAAAATAATATATATTTTGTTTTTATTCAACTTTAATTTGTTTTTTTAATTATTTTGGAAAAAATTTAGTCTTTTCCATTATTATTTCAGAATAACATTTCATTTGTATTTATGAAAAATGAACGTCTTTTAAATAACAACCTATTCATGCTCTTTTTTTTCCGTGTTTGGCCAACACCTCCTAGAAGAAGGAAGGCCTCAGCACGGATCAATTTAGTAGTCCGATTTAACGAAGTTAACTGCGCAGTAGATGAAAAATAAGAAAGATGACATTTCGTTAGGGCAGTGTTTCCCAAACTTATGACTTTTGTGTACCCTTTCTAAATTTTTCGTAACGCTGTGTACCACTGATAAAAAATGAGTGTATTTTTTACTATAAAAAATTGCACAAAAGGTAAAAATCATAACTGGCTGTTGACACCACTCATTATTAACTGTTAACTCTGCAAAAAATAGCCAATAGAAAAATATCGTAATCGTAAATTTTAATGACTGGCTTCGTTTTTAAATAAAATTTTTTGAAATTTTCGTTTGTTGCAAGTTATTTCGCATAAGAACGTGTACCCCCGCTAAACTGGTCCCGTACCCCTGGGGGTACGCGTATCACACTTTGGGAAACACTGCGTTAGGGGTACTAATCTGCGCAGTGGTTGAAAATACGAAATATGTTATTACGTTTAGACTACTAAAGGATATTTATGGTAAACCGTGTTGAGGCCTGCTCTTATCTAGGAGGTGTTGGTTTGGCTCGAACAATGAAGAATTGCAATTGTCAATTTTAACTTACTAACAACACGAAATTAAAAGAGCATAAATACGTAACCACATAAGAACTGCTCCAAAGTAAAACTGAAAAATTACTAACATAAAGATTTCTTTGACTTTTACTTAACAACTTTCAAATACTGTTTCAGGCATCCTTAAAATTAACTAACTGTATTCGAAACTGTAATAGAAGCATATCAATCTTAAATTCGTAATATTTTCTTCAATTTTATATCATTTACTTCACATTTTCATCAAATTTAAAATATTTTCAAATGGATTATTTCCAATTTATAACCGAAATTTTTATCGCCAGCAGTTTTGAATATCGCGCATTTTGAATGGTAGCATCTTCTTGTTAGAATACACCGAAGTCAAGCATCACTGGCTACGGTCAATGTGCGGGTGGGTGACCACTTGGATCAGTCAGCGTAGGGACCGAGGGTGTACGGTATTGGTCCTCGTTAAACTGTGCTACCGTAAAGTGCTCGACTTCGCGCGCAGGTCGTCGGGCTACCGAAGCGGGGGTGCCATCTGCCATCCCCTCCGCGGAGGATCAAAATTGTGATGGCATGTCTTCGGATCATCCTGCCAATAGCCCATTGTGCAGCTCTAGTGCGACGTAAATTAACAACAACAACTTGTTAGAATAATCAGTTCAGCCCATCGAAGTACCAGAACATAACAAAGAACACTGCCCTTATTTCGAAAAAAAAATAACGAAATATTTATTCTGATTTTAAAAAAAGAGGAAGAAAAAACAATATCGAATTACTTTTGCGATATAGCTAAGCCCCGGCAGCAAGATTACAAACAAAAATCGTGCAGCACTAGCCTGTCAGTGCCAACCAAGAATTCCCTTAAAGAAGTGATTTTTTTCTATATCTTTTGTTGAGCCGCGATGGCTCAAGGGATAGGGCGTTCGCCTTCCAATGAGCCGAACCAACCGGATTCGAATCCCAGGCGATACGAATTCCACATCCGGCTCGCACCGACCACAGTGCTGACGTGAAATATCCTCAGTGGTAGACAGATCATAGGTTATAGTCCCCTTGCCATCAGGCTAACCGTGGGAAATTCTCGTGGTCTTCCTCTCCATGTAACGCAAATGCGGGTTAGTCCCATCAAAAAAGTCCACCACGAAGGCAAATTTCTCCCAATAGTCGATCCAGGAGTTCCCTTGTCTTCTGGATTGGGTTCAAAATTACAAGACTACGAAGTTGAACATTAAACCCATAAAATTGATAGTAAACCCATAAAATTGGGTCGGCTGTTCAACG